AAAAGCTAATGGACTTTTTTTTTCCCTAACTCTGCAAGAGAATGTGCTGATACAAAAAGAAATAGATCTTTTCTAATTCTTGGGCTACTTCTTTGTCCTCTCCATCTCTCGCTTCTGCTACCTTGTTGCTCAGATGTAATTTGTTTAGTTTGCCTTAAATAAAGGGAATGTAGTTACTCTGTGTTACAGCTATCAGGTTCCCAGACAAAAACTCAATAAATAAGGCACTGCCAGGGCTGTAGCTCAAGTCTGGTGTTTCTGCCTTCATCTGCAGTAGGTACCACTCACAGGCAGCTGAAGGACTGTAAAAGTTAAATTGTGGATTTAACTGAGACATTTTCTTTCTCCCTGAAAAGCAAACCCATTTCCCAGTTCCATGTGGATTCTCTGTTTAATTTCTGTCAGCTGGACCAGTGGTACCAGCCCTGTCCTGGGGGTCCCTGGCACCTGATCCTTGCAATGGGAGCAGAGTGATTTTCCACTGGAGAGCATCTCCTGGAGCTGGAGTTCATCTTCAGTGCCCATCCCTGGGGTGAGGTGGGAGGGCTGGAGGAAATGTTAAGGAATAAAGAGGTGGGGAGTGTTCCTGCACCATTGCAGAGGGGAACTGGGTGGATGGCTGCTGCAAAGTGCTTGGGAAGAGCAGAGGCACCAGGTGGGATCTGCCGGATAAATTAATTCTTATTTCTCTAACCATCACATTATCTTGCTTTAAACCCTCTTTCTTTGTATGCTTTGGGGGGAAATTCCTCCTGCTTTTTTGGCTGGCAGGAGAAGCTCAAGCCCAGAGCAGGCAGGGAGCTCTGGGCTAAGCCCAGCTCCCAGCTCAGGAGCTGCAGGCTCTGCTTGTGCCTGACCTGGAGCGCTCCGCACAGGGACTGGCAAATCTTGGCTGCAGGGCAGATTTCTCAAGGAGCTGCAGTGATTTTTCACAGTTTATTTGGTTGCCAAGATAATCCTGAGCTGTGTAAAACGTCTCTGTGTGGATTTCTCCCAGAATTGGACAGTTTGCCACCAGCCAGGAGCTGTGTGCTGACGCGGTCCCAGGCAGCTCCCAGGCTTCTCACACACATTTGGGATAAATGTCAGGAGTTCAGGCTGCTCTCCAAGCTCTGTCGTGGAGAAAAAGGACCAGAAAGAACAGGAAAAGCAGCACTTGGAGATGGTAATTTTTCAGACTGCTGCTGTAACAGGGCACTGGTTTTAATTGAAGCCTTCAGAGCAGCAGAAGCAGGGGAAGGGATCTCGTGTTTCCCCCCCGTACCCCAGGAGGTGAAGGTAAACAGCCAGTGACAATCAGAGCCCCTTGTGCCTTGGCACTTAACAAGTTCATCGTGTTTCATAGAAACTGCATCCTAATTTTCATTCCAAACAAGATTTCAGCACTAATTTCTGTTTTGACAAATACAATCTGACATAAGAACAGTGGGAGTCAAGACCTTTCATTTTTGATCTGGGTTTACATTGCGCTGATCTAAATTCCTCCCCCTTCTGCTCTTGCTTTTCAGTTGTAAACTCTGTTATTAAAGTTAGCAAAGAGCTGTTTGAAACCCCCTGTTCTGTGGCATTTAAACAGTCCTGCTGCATGCAAGATTAAGTCTGATATCTTCCTAATGGCTCGTGCTGTTCATCTGAGGCCTTGGCACAAAGCGTCGCTGCACGGATTCTGAAATGGCTTTGTTGGAGACGAAGGATTTGGTTTCTGTTCACTGAGTCCCTTCACCAAATGGCAGCACCAGGCCTCCTGGGGCTGAGGGCCTTAGAGATGAGGTTCCCCAAGCCCTGTGCCTGCTGCAGGGCTCTGGCAGGGCTGGCTGGGGTCAGGGTGGGCTTCCATCCCTCCCTGGTGATGGCAGTCGCAGGGGAATGTGGCTCTAAGCAGGGGGGACACAGCACAAGGAGTTTTCCAGTGGAAGGTTGGAATTGGATGATCTTTAAGGCCCCTTCCAACCCAAACCAGCCTGTGGAAGGATAATTTCATTTGAGCTGAACCCTGGCATCAGGGAGTGCTGGAAAGCTGCTGGAGATCCTGGTGAGGATGCTCCCACCTCCTGCTGCTTGGGAATCCTGGCACTGTGTTCACCTTCCCAAAGGCACACCCTGAACTCCTCCTTGGTCCTTGGACCCCAAAGCAAAGCTGGTGGGACAGGAGAGTCCAGCCTGTGCTTTGGGGGCCTTTGCAGGGTCCTTGTTCTCCATGCCCAGGCACAGAGAGTGTGGTGGATTAGGAGAGCCTTTGGGAGGAGCTCTCCTTCCTGAGGAAAGGCTATTTCAGACCCCACTCACAGCTACTTGGCTGCTGAAGCATCACTTTGGTGGCTTTTTTTAAGGCTCTCAAGGGACAGACTTGCAGCTGGGAGCCCTTCAAGTCTGTCTGGGCAGTGATGCTCCACCTGAATGGTGGCTATTTTGGGAAGAGGGAAGGCAGTGCTCTGCATCCCTCCCATCACAGCTGCTCCTCTTCAGAAAATCAACTTCTGCTAAGCTCTGGGTGCTGGATGAGTGCTGGGCTTGGGTCACTTGTTCAGGTGTTGGGAGAGGCAGGTGCAGGTGAGTCTGGGCTAAAAAAAAAAAAAAAAGAAATTAAGAAAAGAAGAAACAAAACGAGTCAAAACCCCTGAGAGCCACCAGTGCCAGCTCCTCTGCAGCAGCACCTTTCCCCAGATGGTGTCAATGAAGTCAGTGTTGGCTGGTGCTCCCCGTGGCAGGGCTCAGCTCCTGGGCTGGGTGGCAGCAGGAACAGAGCAGCCTTGTTGCCCACACTCCTCTCTCCATTCTTCTGCTGCACAAAAGAGCAAATCCAGGGTGGCACAGGCCCTCCTTCAGCTCAGGGAGAGATGAACCTTTGTCTGCTGCCATCAGCTGCTGCTCATCACTCAGGGACAGCCCTGTCACCAGAGCTGCTGTGACACCCAGAAATGCCCCCAGACCCCTGAGGTCTCTGTTCTCTCTCTGCTGAAGGTGTCCCCAGCCCAGCCAGGCTGGAGCAGGATCAGGAGGGGTTTTCATTGCACACTTGGGTTTGTGGGGTCCTGCTCTAAAGCCACTGCTCCCAGCCCTGGGAGCTTCCAGGAGGGTTTCTGTCACGGGTTTCTTGTGAGAGTTTCTTGGTTCCTACTTTAAAACTCCCTGAGAGCAAGAACAGTCAGGCTGAAACCAGCAATTTGGAGATGAGGGTGCCAGCAGGAGTCAGAAGTGACAGAGAGGGGCTGGATTTGGTTTGGAGCTGCCTCCCCTTTGATTGCAGCCCTCCCACCCTAATGTGCAGGTGCAGGGAGGTGCTGATGGGGTAACAAAGCTGGCAGGAGGTGGCAGGAGGTGTCACCCCCGTGCCAGCTGGGTGTGTTTGTGCTGGGGTGTGCACACACCAAATTCTCACACTGCCCCTGCAGCTCCCTCCTGCTCTGAGGAAGCCACAGCCGAGCAGGAAGGAGGGAAGATGCTCCCCTGGCACAGAAACCACGGGTGCCCTCTGTCCTGGCGAGGGACAGGCACAGCCCTGGCTTGCTGAGGAGGGGCAGGAGCTGCCTTTTCATCCCTCTCCTGGGGCTGGAGCTGGCACAGCCCCTCCTGGCGTGGGGAGAGCTCTGGGGCTGCAGGACAGGAGCCACTGAGCAGCTGCAGCTGCTGCAAAGTTGGTGCAGAAGAAAGGGAACACAGCCCCTGGTACAGAACACACAGCCCCAGGTTCTTCTGATGCAGAGGGTGAGGGAAGATTTAAAACAAATGTTTAATGTGACAAAGGAGGTTTGCCCTCTGCTTTGTCAAACACAGGCAGGAGAGCTGAGCCACTCCAAGCAGAGAGTTCCCAGTCCCCAGAGCCATTCCCCAAGTTAAAACCCTGACTTGCTAAAAACATAAAAGGCTCTGTCAATTCCAGCAATATTCCTCACTTCAATTAATCATCCCAGAAAATGGTGAGTTTGTTGTCTCTTTGTCTCCATTTAGCTTGAGCAAATCCAACTTTCCTCATTGTCTCTCTGCAGATTATGAAAAGCTTTTGTTGATTATATCATCAAATTAAGGCGAGCCCAGCAGTGTGATTTTCCTCTCAGAATATCACAGCAACAGCTGTGCCTCAGGTGCCACTGCCCTTCCTTCCCTGTTTAAAACGCTCTCCCTGCCTCCCTGTCACGTCTCTCCTTGCTAACAGGAAAGTGTATAAAAATCACATAATCATTAATATTGAAGAATCATTAGGGCTGATGAAAGCAGCCCTGCCTGCCACGGCGTTGTTTTCCATGCTCGGTGCTTTTGGCAAACATTCCAGGCCCACATCAGCCCAGCTGATTTTCAGAGCCCACCGGTTGATCCAGTGACTGTTTGACTCCATCCAGCCATTGCTCCTGGAGATGGCTCCAGTGAGAAGGTCACTTCCCAGGCCTGCAGGAGTAAATGGATTCCTGGAGGCTGTTTCTGCCTCCCTCCTCTCCCACAGCCCCTGCTTTTGATGCAGACAGCATCCGAAAGGCAGCAATCCGTAGTGGAGCAGGAAAGTCCTGCTTGGGTTTTTATTAAAGCAATGATGTGCTGGCTGCATGAAAAGTGTCAAAACTGCAATCTTGTAGCATCAACAGAATAAGGCAGGATCCTTCCCTGGGGGAGAGGAACACTGAGAGGAGGAAGGAGCCTGGAATGGGTGGATCTGAGCACTTCTCTGGGCCGCAGGGATGATGCTCATCAGTCACAGTCCCCGTGTCCCTTGGTGAGAGCACAAACATTGCTGAGCCACCCCGGCCAGGCAGGACTGGGAGCAAGGCCAAGGCTTGCACTTGTGGCTGGGGGCTTCAGGTGTGGGCCCTGAGCTGTTCCTTTGGGCAGTTCTTCCAGAACTCATCATTCTTTCAGGCCTTTGGAGATCGGGGTCCAGTTGTGGGTGCAGAGCTGAGCAGCCCTGGGGGAAGGTGCCACCCCCAGCACTGGGAGCTGCTGCCTGTGCCAGCCCCCCAGGCTGACTCAGAGCTGTGCTTTCATCCCTCTCTTGTGTTTTTGCCACACAGGAGGCCTTCGAGGAGCAACTGTGATCGATGCCTTAGACACCCTCTACATCATGGAGCTCGAGGAGGAATTCCAAGAAGCCAAGCAGTGGGTGGAGAAGAGCTTTGACTTGAACGTGGTGAGTCAGCTGCTGGGAATGCCTGCCTGTGCCACCTAAACTGCCAGTCCTGATCTCAATCTTCCCCTTTGGGGAGAGAAAGCACAGCTCTGTAGGGGAAGAAACCACTCAGCTGATTTTCTTTGCAAGACCAAAGGGAGCAGTGCAGTGATTCACCCCAATTTTCTGCTGGTTCCAGCAGGGGCAGCAGCTCAGCCTCACCGTGTCTGGCTGACAAGAAGGTTCAGTGTTTAATGGTTCTTGTGTTCTGGGCTGGGCTATGGAAACAGACACTCACTCTTAGACAGCCCAAGGAAATGTTGCTCATCAAAGAACAAGTTCTGTTTGGTCTCAGGTAAATGTCTGCCTGTGATAAAATGAGATTTCCTCATTAAATTTCCTTATTAAATTAGATTAAGGTTGTAAACCCAGCTCCCCTTGTCTGGGTTCTCTGTTGGTGTCACTGCTGGGATCTGTGTGACACCTCAGCAGCAGAGAGGGAGCACAGAGGAGCCAGGGTTTGTCAGGAAGGGCATCACCTCTGAAAACAGCCAGGGCTGCTTCTCCCTGGGAGCTGTCCTGGACACGAGGGGCTGTGCTGGGGCTCTGGGGCAGCACAGCAGTGCTGGCAGCCAAAGGGTGCTGTCCCTCCTCTGTCCCAGCTCCTGCATCCCTCCTCCCCAGCTGATGGCATCTCATCAGTGGCACACACAGAGAATGTGAAAACCAAAGTGCAGCTTCAACTTGTATTTGTTTAATGCCAGTCTAGTTGTTGTGAGGAATGGTTCTCCCACGGGAACAATGCCTGCAGCTGCCTTTGTAGAGAAGCATCATTTGGGAGGGCACCACTGGCATTCTTGGATTCATAAAAGGCAGCCCACATCTGATAAATTTGGTGAATGGTCTCAGTCCGTTACTGAATCGATAAACGAGGGACAAAATCAACTGGGAGATAATTTATCTGGATTTCATAAAAGCTTTTAATCTTGGCCTGCAGAATAGGTTGATCTGTAAAGACAAGAGTGAATGCTATGGATTGATCCGTGGAGTCAGGGAGCACAGCAAGGGAGGCAGGGGGAAATTAATTCAATATTGCCTCTGCACAAGGAGCCCTCACAGTCCAGAAAGGCAGGACAGGGACTGCAGGACCCACAAGCTCTGCTTGAAACCGAGTGCTATGATCTGTCTGGAGTTGTGTCGGGGGAAGTTTGGGCTGGATTTTGGGCAAAGGCTCTTCCCCAGAGGGTGCTGGGCACTGCCCAGGCTCCCCAGGGAATGGGCACAGAGCTGCCAGAGCTCCAGCACAGCACTCCAGGGATGCCCAGGGTGGGGTTGTTGGGGTGTCTGGGCAGACCAGGATGATGCTGGTGGGTCCCTTCCAGCTCAGGAGGTTCTGTGGCTGTGTGACGTGCCCTGCCTGACCCAGGTGCTGCCTCAGGTGATAAATGGGGCAGTTTGGGTTTCTCTTCCCTCCAGGCTCCCCCTGTCCCTGCAGAGCAAACAAAGAGCTGAGAGATGGGCACAGAGCTGGGGGCTGTGCTGAACTCAGGGCTGTCCTTGTGTCTTTGCAGAATGGAGAAGCTTCCCTGTTCGAGGTGAACATCCGCTACATCGGAGGGCTCCTGGCCACCTACTACCTGACTGGAGAGGAGGTTTGTCCCCACAGTGCCCCCCAGCCCCAGGAACCAGCTGAGAGCTCTGCCCTCAGCACCAGATAACCCCCCCTTAACAACGGGCTAAACCCATCCTTCTTGCGAATATGGAAATGCCACTAACGTTCCTTTAATTAAGCCTGGAATAATTACCTTGCACACACCGTGCATGGCTCATTTGCCAGAGATCTTTCCTCCTGTGGGCAATTCCAGCAAGACACGTTTGCAGTTGGACACATTGCTCCCCGGGGAAATGCCATTTGCAACAGGATCTTTGTGCTTGTTCCTCTCTCTTCCAAGTGGGGTGAGATTTCATCAGACATCATCCCAGATCCTGCCTCGGGCTCAGGAGGGCAGCTGAGAGGGGCAGGTGCTCCCCACTCAGCTGCACATCCCCGTGGAGCAGGAATTCCTGAGCTGGAGTGCCCTGGGATGCAGAACTTGGTGTCCCAGCCCCTGAGGTGGATGCTGGAGCCCTGGGTGAAGCAGGAGATCTCATTTCCACTGCCCTCCCTCCTCCCACAATGCCATAATCTGTTTGATGGTGTGCCTGGGCTGGAATTCTACATCTGTAGGGAGATGAGGAGATTATTCCTCTGCCCTGGGAGTCTTTGGTGAGCTGAAACTCTGGTTCAGGGGGAGTTCTGTGAGGACTGGCCCTACATGAGAGCTCAGCTCTGCTGCTGCCCCAGCACAGAGGGTGGGATGGCTCCTGCACAGTGACACCCTTGATCCAGGAGCAGCTCTCTTACTTCAGCTGCATTTTAAATGTGTTCCAGGAATGACTTCCCTCTGGGATTTCCCTCCAGGGGAAACTCTCAAAGACTCAGTGCCCCGACTCAGAGCCTGCCTCAGTGACAACTTCAACAGGTTTCAGATCAACAGAGCAAAAAGAAACCACATTAAACCATAAAACTCCAGCAGTGACCTCTTGAAGTGCCATCAGCAGCTGGGGCAGTGCCTGTCACTTACCCACTGAGTGTCACTGAAAGGCAAAAGCCAGTCCCTGTCTCTTGTTTTTCCCTTCTGAGGCAGCCCCCTGTTTCCTTGTGGGAGTATCAAAGGTCTGTGAGCCCACAGGAGAGCTCAGGTTTCCTCAGTGCTGTATTTTCAGAGCAATGAATTCCTGCTTTCTGAGAGCCACCACCACAGGGCTAGAGGTAAAAGGCTTGTGCTTTATCTCCTAAGTCACTTAGAGGCTTCTCTTGATCAGGACTAATCTCTGCAGCGAAGATTAGTGCTGGTATCAGTCTGTCCCAGAATAATTGTGCGTGCTTGCTTTGTGCTGCAAGGCACCATAAGCTGCAATTTGACTGGAAAGCCCAAAACTGAGGCATTACCAGTGGAAAAGGAGCAGCTTAGCCATGAAACCACCAATCCTTCTTGGCCAGGAGCTGCAAGGAGGAGATGGTTGGTTGGAAATCGTGGTTTTTACAACAGGAGATGAAAACAAAACCTGGGCAAGCCCACGTTGTAAATCTAGCAGTGCTTCAGCCCAGAAGGATTTCTTCTGATTTTAACTCCGTGATTGCAGCTCCTTGTCTTCTCTGCCATCCTGGGAATGGGAAGGGTTTGGAGAGCACTCTGGATCAGCTCACATCACAGGGTGCTGTTGTGAGCTGCTCTGCTCCAGGCTGAGGCTTTGGCAGGGGACTGGGTGCTGGTTTAGTGCAGATTTGAGAGGAAATTTAGAGATTTTCAGTGAGACTTTTGGTTCAGGTTTTTTGTGCAGGGGAGCCAGGGCTCAGCACACCTGGAGCAGGGGTTCTGCAGCACCTCCAGTGTTTTATGTGTGTGTGTTTGGAAAAGGGGATGTGGGGGAATCCTCTGGGACTCGTTCCATCAAATATTTATCCTCCCTTTTAACAGGTGTTCAAGAGCAAAGCCCTGGAACTTGGAGAGAAACTTCTGCCAGCCTTCAACACCCCCACTGGAATCCCACGTGGAGTCATCAACCTGGGCAGGCAAGGCACACATCCTGAGCAGCATTCCCTTTAGTTCTGGGAGTGGGAAGGACCAGGAGCAGCAGCAGCTCCTCAGAGCTGGCCCCTCTAGAGCACATTCCTCGAGGTCACTTGCTTTGCCAGCTCAGCCTTGGCACAGATTGCAGGTGACTCAGGTCAAACCCAGCTGTGTTTTATTAATTTGGGGCTGGCCACAGTTTCTCCCTCTGCCTCCTGACAGGGCTCCCTGCTGCAAGAGCATTTTCCTCACTCTCATCTTCTGTGAAATGTGATCTTCTAGCCTGCTCATAGCATGGATTTTTGCAGTGTGCCCAGCTAGATGCATGTGAATTCATCCAGGAAAAATGGATTTAAAAAAGTGGAAAAACTGAGGAAGGGAGTGGATGGGACTGGCTGACAGTTTTGGTGCTGGAAAAGGGGAGAACACAACACAGCCCTCAGCCAAGCCCTGTCCTTCCTTAGAGCCCAGAATTCAGGTTGGTGATGTTCTCACGGCCAGGGAGGCAGCTGAGTTCAGTAAATCCCTGCAAAAGGTCTGGCAGCAAACAGAGCAGAGCTGGGGCTGCCCTGCTGCTCCTGGCTCTCCTGGCAGACAATGCCCTGCCAGCCAGCCAGGGATTTTGGATTTGCTGGTTCTGATGCATCCAAACAAATCCACAGGTGAGAGCTGCAGGAAATGTGGGTTAACAAAGCCTTTCATCCTCACCTCTTGCAGAACCCTCAAAGTCATTTTCCAGCCCTTAGCCCAAATCTCCTCCTTGGCTCTGCAAGCAAAAGACCTCCAAATATTTGGCTCAAATATCACTGTCACCCCTCAGTTGTCTGATGTGCTCCCGATCCCGGGGAAAATTGGAGGCACCAGCAGCACTGTAATTGTCCTTTTTTACAGCACAGCCATCCTGCTTCCTCTGTGGCTGATAAAGGCTCTGCATAGACTAACCTTTCACAGAAATGCCAAACCCTCCCCTGCCCTTTGTGAAGACAATTGAAGCAGCCTCCGTCTGCCCAGACATTCCCAAAATGTTTTGCTGGTGACCTTGAGTGAGAGCAGAGAAAATCGACAGAACACCCAGGCCACAGCCAGAGCCCCCACTGCTGCCTGGAGCTCTGGGGCTGCAGTGCCAGCTGGTTTGGGAGCAGGCATGGAGGGAGCTGCATCCACAGCCCGAGCTGCTGCAGGGGCACGAGGAGCAGCCAAAGGCTGAAAACCCCCAGGGAATGGGAATTATTCCGTGTGCAAGTGGAAGCAGAGGAGGGCGAGGTGAGGCTGGGAGACCACACTGACCCAAACATCAGGGCCAGAACAAAGCCCAGAAGAGTTTTGCAAGGAGGAATTCTCTCTCCAATTCTGCTTTTGCAAGGGTGTGCTAATTCCAGAGAGACCTCAGCATCCCAAAAGGAGGAGGGTCCTGCAGCGTGTGTGGGCCTCTCTTGGTGGCAGCTTGGGGGGTGGGTTAAGAAGGACGTTCAGAAATTTGAAACCAAAAAACCCCCTTGGCATTGAGTCAATTCTGCACATTCATTTTCGAGGGCCCAAGCACAGCCAGCCCCCCCAGCTCTCCCATACCCAGCTGCCTTTATCTCTTGCTGTCACCTTTTCCTCTGGGGTCCCCTCTCTGCTGATGAGCTTCCTGTGGCTGCCTGCTGTCCCTGGCTGTCTGTCCCACCTCACAGTGCCTGCTGTCCCTGGCTGTCTGTCCCATCTCACACTGCCTGCTGTCCCTGGCTGTCTGTCCCACCTCACAGTGCCTGCTGTCCCTGGCTGTCTGTCCCATCTCACAGTGCCTGCTGTCCCTGGCTGTCTGTCCCATCTCACACTGCCTGCTGTCCCTGTCTCTGTCCCATCTCACACTGCCTGCTGTCCCTGTCTCTGTCCCATCTCACAGTGCCTGCTGTCCTGTCTGTCTGTCCCATCTCACACTGCCTGCTGTCCCCTCCTGCTGCTCCAGCTGCCACGCCGCCCTGGAGTGCTCTGTGTGCTGCAGCTGCTGCTCTGTGCTCTGCTCTGTGAGCTCTCCCTGTGCTGCAGCCCCTTCCTTCACACGTCCCTAAACCCTCTGTACCTCCAGATTTTCCCTCAGCATCCTCCCCTGGCCTCTCTCACTGGTTTTGCTGTTTTGGATCCCCGTGGGGGAAGGCAATAATTCGACATTTCAGACCAGCTTATCTGGGAGATAAGGAGGTTCTGGGTACTTTCCTTTCTCTTGGAGGCCAAGGTCCTTTGAACAGCAGCTTCCTCTGAGCTGCTGGAGGCAGAGCAGCTGTGAAGGCCAGTTTGTAAGGCTGACAAAAGCTTTTCCTGCAGGGGCTCACTGCAGGCTGCCCTCTCAGCCAGGGACACGCTGCAGAGGGCTCTGCTTCCTCCTGTGCTGCCTGCCCCAAAGCTCAGGCACAGCCCACGCTGTGGTTTTGGGGAGGGCAGCGCTGGGATGGTCTCTGTGACCCTACAGAGCTGCTGTGACAACAAACACGGCGCCACTTGGCAGCTGCAGCCCTGCTGAGCCGAGCCGAGCCGAGCCAAGCCGAGCTGAGCTGAGCTGAGCTGAGCTAAGCTGAGCCTGTCTAGGGCTCTCCTTGCAGGCAAACAGCCAGCCCGGGACCTGCCACGTTTTCCTCTCCATCACAACGAGGCAAACTTCTTTTTTTTTCTTTTCGTGCTGGGAAGGATCATTAGTTTTAACCTCCTGTAAACAACAAACGCTTCTCTCTCCCAGCCAAGCTTCCCGGCGCCATCTAGTGTCACCCCCACCCTTCCCTGTCCCTGGAGCTGTCCCCTCCCCGGGTTCACTGCCAGGAGATGGAAAACTGGAGCCACCACACCTCTGAGGTGTGTAATATCCAGCCCTGCATCCCCCAGGGCATTGTCCTGCCTGGAGGGTCCCAGACACACCCAGAGCCCCGGGGTACCACAAGGATATTTATTTTATCCCACAATATCTGTGGGGAAGGGTGGCAGTGCTCCTCCAAAGCTGTTGGTCAGCTGAGCTCTTCAGGAGGGATTCCTCTCCCACAAAGAAATGCAGTTTGTGTTAGCCCAGTCCTAAAGAATCTCTGGAAGAACACAGCTCAGTGCCACTGGAACTGCTGCTGAAAATCTGTGTCCTAAATCTGTGTGTGTGTCCTAAATCTGTGTGTGTATCCTAAATGTGTGTATGTGTGTCCTAAATCTGTGTGTGTGTGTGTGTGTCCTAAATGTGTGAGTGTGCCCTAAATCTGTGTGTGTGTGTCCCAAATCTGTGTGTGTTTCCCAAATCTCTGTGTGTGTGCCCTGATGATGCTGGTGGGTCCTATGTGTGTCCTAAATCTGTAAATGTGTGTATGTGTGTCCTAAATCTGTGTGTGTGTGTGTGTGTCCTAAATGTGTGAGTGTGCCCTAAATCTGTGTGTGTGTGTCCCAAATCTGTGTATGTGTGCCATAAATCTGTGTGTGTGTCCCAAACCTGTGTGTGTGTCCTTTCCATGCCCCAAATGACACCTGGCAGAGGCAGGGCTGCCCTGCCCAGGCCACCCCAGGCTCTGGCTGTGTTTCCTGGCACTGAAGGCTCTCTTTTCTCTCCCTGCAGTGGCATGAGCTGGAGCTGGGGCTGGGCATCTGCTGGAAGCAGCATCCTGGCAGAATTTGGGACCCTGCACCTGGAGTTCCTGCACCTCTCCCAGCTCTCTGGCAACCCAGTGTTTGCAGAAAAGGCAAGTGACCCCAGCCTGGGCTGCCTGGCTTGGCCTCTTCATCCCCCTGGGGTGTTTTTCCCTGGTGTGATTTTACCCAGAGGAGGGCACAGCCAAGGTGCAGCCATCAGGGGATGCAGATCCCTCAGGAGCCTGCTCTGAGGGACACAGATTGTCCCAGGCAGAACCCAAACTGCCCCCGTGAGCCCAAGGGAAATGGGGCTGGCCCAGAGTGCCACCAACAGGCAGGATTGCCAAAAAACCTCAAAAATTCTGCTTTTCCAGGGTGTGTCCAGTGCAGCTCTGTCAGCTGTGAAACAAGGAGGGGATTTGAAGGAGAGACAGGGAAAAAAAGAGGAGGAAGAAGCTGGGAGAGCAAGAGCTCTGTCAGCTGTGAAACAAGGAGGGGATTTGAAGGACAGGGAAAAAAAGAGGAGGAAGAAGATGGGAGAGCAAAGTGGAGCTGGGATGGAGTGGATGGAAAGCAGGGAGGGTGGGATGAGCAATGAGAGTCAGAGGAGGGAAGAGCAGAGGGTGAAGGGAAACAGGAAAGCCAGGAAACTCTGTGGGAAGATGAAGAGAGGGCTGGTGATGTGAAATAGAGACAAGGCTGAGGTTCCTGAGGACAGGGATGATGACAAATTGCTCCCAGGGAGGGGGAGCTGAGGAGAGGCCAGGAAAGGGAGCAGTGCTGTGGAGAGAAAATGTGTGAGGAAATGAAGGGAGGGAGAGATGAGGAAACGCTGGGGATGCACTGCTAAAAACCAGAATTGCATCCTCATTCTGGGTTCAAACCATGGCATTTTGAGCCAGGGTCAAACCTCTGTCCCCAGCCTCAGAGATTTTTCCTCTTCTCCTCCTAAGCCCGTGGAGGGAAAAGGGCAAAACCTTTCTGAGAGACTCTCCTGGGCTGATGTGTGCACAGCAAATGGATCACAGCCACCCTGAGAGGGAAAACGTGGGATGCTGTGGGCTCTGACAGCCCAGCCTGTGGGAAATTCCTGCAGGGGAGCAGATCAACTCATGAGCCCCCAGCCTGGGACTGGGGTGATTTTAGCAGCAATTAAAGCCCATCTGTGTGTTTTATTCAAACCTGTCATTAATATGCCAAGCTCCTAAAGTCCAGTAAATATTATAGAGCCTGACAACTTCCTTGGAAGCACTGGCTTAAGGCTGTAGCCAGCTTTTGGCGTGCAAATTGTCTGATTTTGTAAAAGGTTTAGGGCAAATTAGCTGCTCTGTAGGTTATAATAGAATATTTATGCTGCATGGAATTTAACTAGGTCCCTTAAGGGAAAGGCCTGTTGGATTTAATGGGGGTGAAACCAAGGGAGGCTTTAGAGAGTTAAGTGCTGGTTGTTCTGGGGTATTAAAGGAACTGTCTGTTGTTGAAATTAAAGGCCCCAATTCATCACATTAAGTGACCACATGGTGAATTTAAGTGCTGTGTGAGTCACTCATCCCTGCCACTCCTTTCCCTTTGGATCACTGAAAAAATCACCCCTGGCATCGCTCACATCTCCCGTTCCCACCCAAATCCCCAAGCACAGAATCAGATTTGGGTTTGGAAGGGACCTCAGAGCCCCTCCAGTGCCAGCCCTGCCATGGCAGGGACACCTCCCACTGTCCCAGGTGCTCCCAGCCCTGTCCAGCCTGCCCTTGGGCACTGCCAGGGATGCAGGGGCAGCCCCAGCTGCTCTGGGCACCTGTGCCAGGGCCTGCCCACCCTCCCAGGGAGGAATTCCTTCCCAACATCCCATTCTAACCCTGGCCTCCTTTACCTTGAGGCCATTCCCCCTTGTCCTGTCACTCCACACCCTTGGGAAAAGTCTCTCTGCAGTTCCCTGTAGCCCCTTCAGGTACTGGAAGCACAAAGTGTCCCAGGATCCCTTCTGGACCATGGCAGTGAGTGCAGTGGGGTTTGCAGAGTTCCCAGGAGCATTTATGAAATAAGGATTGGGCTGAGCCCCGCAGCATCTCCCTCCTGGGCTGGAGCAGGGCAGGGGCTGGGGAGGCAGGGAGGGGCAGCAGAGCATAACCCAGGCTGTCTGTGCTCTCCCACAGGTGATGAACATCCGCAGGGTGCTCAGCAGAGTGGAGAAGCCACAGGGCCTGTACCCCAACTTCCTGAGCCCGGTGACGGGGAGCTGGGTGCAGCGTAGGTATCCCTGCCTCCCTCCTGCCTGCAGGAGAAGCCTTCCCTCTTCCCCAGGGAGCAGCACCTGGCACAGCAGCCAGCCAGGCAGGCTGTGCTGCAGGAGATAAGCCAGGCTGTGCAGGGGGCAGGGCAGGAATTGTGCCCTTACCCACAGCTGAGTTTCCAGCTCCAGAGAGAGAACTGGAGCCCTGCTGAGTGTCCCAGCTGAGTGTCCCAACTCCAGAGAGAGAATTGGGACCCTGCTGAGTGTCCCAGCTGAGTGTCCCAGCTCCAAAGAGAGAATTGGAGCCTTGCTGAGTGTCCCAGCTGAGTTTCCAGCTCCAGAGAGAGAACTGGAGCCTTGCTGAGTATCCCAGCTGAGTTTCCAGCTCCAGAGAGAGAATTGGGGCCCTGCTGAGTGTCCCAGCTCCAGAGACAGAACTGGGGCCCTGCTGAGTGTCCCAGGTGAGTGTCCCAGCTCCAGAGAGAGCATTGGAGCCTTGCTGAGTGTCCCAGTTGTGTCCCAGCTCCAGAGAGAGAATTGGGACCCTGCTGAGTGTCCCAGCTGAGTGTCCCAACTCCAGAGAGAGAATTGGGACCCTGCTGAGTGTCCCAGCTCCAAAGAGAGAACTGGAGCCTTGCTGAGTGTCCCAGCTGAGTTTCCAGCTCCAGAGAGAGAATTGGGACCCTGCTGAGTGTCCCAGCTGAGTGTCCCAGCTCCAAAGAGAGAATTGGAGCCTTGCTGAGTGTCCCAGCTGAGTGTCCCAGCTCCAAAGAGAGAATTGGAGCCTTGCTGAGTGTCCCAGCTGAGTTTCCAGCTCCAGAGAGAGAACTGGAGCCTTGCTGAGTATCCCAGCTGAGTTTCCAGCTCCAGAGAGAGAATTGGGGCCCTGCTGAGTGTCCCAGGTGAGTGTCCCAGCTCCAGAGAGAGCACTGGAGCCTTGCTGAGTGTCCCAGCTGTGTCCCAGCCCCAGAGAGAGCATTGGAGCCTTCCCTGCACAGGGGCTCATCCCACAGGTTGTTGTGGCCAGCCCAGCCTGGGATCCTGCAGTCAGCACAGGCAGCTGCATGGGAAGCACAGTGAGGTTCCAGAGTGGAGGAACCTCCTGCAGAGGCAGAGGGCTTGGAGGAGCTCTGGGTCCCCCCTGGATCCAGGGAGGAATTCTCCTGTGCATTCCTGTTCCTGTTACCATGGCAGCTCTGCAGAGCCACTTGGGAAGGAGGGATGAGATAAGAATGTTTGCTTCTCTCCTGTTGGGAAGACAGCACTGGAGCAATAATCAGGGAAGGCCTTGGAGAGGGCAGGGGAATTGTGGAGGCACCCAGGGGAAGGTGACACACAGGCTGTGCCCCTCCTCAGGAGTTTGCCCTGTGGTGGGAGCAGGAGGAGCCACTTCTGCAGCTGTGCCCTGAGCTGTGACCTCCACTCTCTGCTCCGTTATTGATCTGCTTGTTTTGGCTGCTGGATTTGATGTTGTCAAAGAAAAATCTCTTTCAGAGACTGGTTTGAGCCTGTCAGTGGGTGACATGCATTATCTAGGCAGGTTACTCTGAGTCTTGCATCTCCTGGTGTCCCCCTGCTTTGTTGCACTTTTTGCTGGGCTGGATCACTCCAGACCTCTCCCAGTGCTGCTTTTGTGGCTCTGGTGGCAGCAGGCAGGGACAGACCCTGGCTGTGAGCAATCCCTGACCTTTAACTGGCAGGGCTGGTCCCTGCACAGTGTCTGGGATGGCCACATTAAACCAGAGCTGCCCTTTGGTGCTGGAAGGAAGCCCTCATCTCTTCTGCCACAAATTTAATTCTGTTTTCTGTCTCAGATTTCTCTGCATTGCCCTGAACTTGCTGATGTAGAGAGGGGCCTGGTGGTGCTTTCCAGAGCACATTAAAAGCAGCCTCTGCTTGCTCATGTGGGACAGGCAGCTGCCTGCCACAGGCCTGGAGATTTCCTGACTCCAGCCACACTTCCACAGGCTGTTTGTGGCACTTGCTCAGGATGTGACCTTGCGATCTGAGCCCATATTCCAGGGAGGGAGAAGAGTGATCAGCCCCTTCTGCATCCCCAGTGCTGCTGGGGAGAAACAGATGAGGGAGGCATCTGCAGCCTGCTCCCTGGAGAGGCCAGGCTCTCATTTTCTCTCCTGCCATTAAAGCTCTTTGCAGGAAGCTGTTTTCCTTGAAATTGCTGTGATTTTCTTAAAAGGTGTATCTTTGACCTGGCTGAAGGAGCAGATGCTGCCCGTGGAGAGGCTGTGCTGGCCCTGTGGGAGGGCAGCCCAGCCCTGCTGAAGGCAGGGATTTATTGATGCAGGTGCCTGGGAGGCAAACACTGCCAGGACTGCTGCCATATGGGAAGCAATTCCATAGCAGGGCTGCAGCTTTGGTGAGTTTATGAATGACACACTCAGGATCACAGAGCTGCTCTTTAAAGGCAGCCCGTGTTTGCAAATCCTCTGCCCTCTCTGCTTGCAGGGAAGCCGGGTGTTTAATCTCATTGTTTTGCTAGGGATTATTCCCTGGATCATTGGACACAGTGTGTCAGGGATGTTTGCTCTTCAGGTCAGGAAAATGATGCGTGGCTGTTGGTTTGTGCTGCTGGGAGGATTCGGCATTTGGAATGAGCCTCGGGACTTTATCTGTGTACAAGGAGAGGGGAAACAAAAATCTGAGCAGCTCTAACACTGCTGCACGAGCTTGGCTGGGAAATGAGGGTGGGGCAGAGCCAGGACCCTGTTAATTAACAGGGATGGCTCAGGCCAGCGAGGGCCATTTGTCTTGCTCTCCTAAAAACGGGAGTGCTTGAGTGCTTTAAAGAGTGAGAAGGCTGCTGTTCCCCCTGTGGCAGAGTCTGGAGCTGTAAATGCATCCAGCAGCTCCCCCCAGGCCCATTTCACACTGCAATCCCTCAGCAGCTCCTGGAAGGTCAGAGCAGGGGGTGCTCTGAGCAGACAGCCCCAGAAATTTCATTGCTGCAGAGGAAAACGTGCAGTGCACATCCCTGTACCTGACTTTATCATTTTAATGTGCCAGCAACCCCCAGCCTTGCCCAGGGCTCAGAGTCCCTCCGTGAGGCAGGAATACAAATGGCAAAACCCAGGAGAGTGTCCACAGCCCCTTGCTGGCAGCTCTGTGGGATCCAAACACCTCTCCTTCCCTTCCTGAGGCAGGGAGACAGCTCCCAGGGGCTCCATCCAGATGGAAATCTATCAATACCCACCACTGCTTTTGGTTTATGAGGGTGGATTTATGATGATGGCTCCATAAACAGGAAGCATCTTCACGTTGCAGTATAAATAACTTGTAAAATAAGGCCTCTGAATGGTTCTGCTAAGGGATACTAATGCTCTGGAAAATGACAGAACATTTTTCTCCTGATTGCACTTTCCACCTTTCTTCCTTTCTGAAAAGCAATGCTGCAAGCTCTCCCCAGGAAGCTGGGAAGAGGAAGGAGAGAACAAGGGCATTAAATAGGACGTGATTGTTTCCCCTTTGTGAGGCAGCTGCTCGCTGCCTGTCGTGAACCTGAAGCTCTTTCCTGGCTTTCCCACCACAGACCACGTCTCCATCGGGGGCCTCGGGGACAGCTTTTATGAATATCTCATCAAATCCTGGCTGATGTCAGACAAGAAGGACTCTGAAGCTAAAAAGATGTACGACGATGCCTTGGAGGTGAGGAGCCAGGTGCTGCTCTGTGGTTTTTTTGGGTGGGATGTGGTTCTTCAGAAGGGTTCAGACCTTCAGAATGAGTCTTTGGGTTTCCTGGGTACTCACTCCTGTCACTAACTAACACTGAGTAAGTTTTACTCACTGTCCACTCCCTTGAAATCCTGATTTTCATCCCTTTAGGCAATAGAAAAGCATTTGGTGAAGAAATCTGCAGGAGGCTTGACCTACATCGCCGAGTGGAGGGGTGGCATCCTGGATCACAAGATGGGCCACTTGGCCTGCTTCTCTGGGGGCATGATTGCCCTGGGGGCCGAGCACAGCACGGGGGAGAGGAGGCAGAGGCACATGGAGCTGGCAGCAGAGATCACCAGCACCTGCCACGAGTCCTACACACGCTCAGGTACCCGAGCCCACCGCCCCAGGAGGGTGGGCACTGCCTGGCAGGGGGGTTCTGTGCCTCAGCAGCACTGCAGCCCTGCTGTGGCTTCCCCTGGGCTTTCCTGGCATGTGTGGAAGGGACAGAAATGTGCTTTGTGCAGCAGAGGCAGCCGGGAGCTCCTGGGGCAGAGCTGGGAATGGAGCTGGGGCTGAATCCCAGCAGGGCTCCAGGCTGCCCTTGCTCATCCCTGTGCAGGCAGGAGGGGAGGCTTAGCAGGGGTTAACTGCAGGGTGGCTCTCTCTGGAGCACAGCAGCTGGGAAGCCCTGCAGGGCAGTGCTGCAGACCTGCAGCTGCTGGTGGAGCCAGGAGAATGGAGTTGCTGAGCCTCTCCAGCTGTGTGAGTCCTCGTTTCACAAGCTCAGGACAATTTCTTTCACCACCCACAGCTGTGGAGAGCAGCGAGTGGAGATGAGTGAGGGACTGGCTTGGTTCTCTGCCTGCAGGAGCTGCTTTGGACACCCCTCCTTTCTTTGTAGGCATCCCTGCAGCTCCTGTGAGGCTGCAGGCAGCCAGGGCAGCTCTCCAGGACCTTGTCAGGCACAGGTCTGTCCACAACTGCATCCAAGGATTGTCCCACAGCAGCCAGCCCAGTTTGGTGCCCAGCATGTTTGCCCAACAAACTCCAAGCTAACCTGAAATGATGTTTGCAAATAACTCTTTTTCCCCCTTGCAGCACTTACAGAACTAAACCAAGGCACCTGAACTAACAGCCCTGTGCCTGTGAGTGCCTGCAGCCAGTTTTCACCCTCAGAGAGGACTGCAGCAGGCTGCCCAGTGCTGCAGGGAGTGGCTGTGCACGGCCCCCAGCTCCTGCCAACACTGCCAGGGCCCCACAGCCACAGGAGGGCCCAGGGAAGGTCTGCAGGGTAATTAGAGGCAGATAATGACTCCCTGTGAAGCACTGGGGCAGACACAGCCAGAGGAATGTGGCACGATCACAGAATTATGGAGTGGTTTGGGCTGGAAGGGACCTTCAATTCCATCCCATCCCACCCCTGCCATGGCAGGGACACCTTCCCCTGTCCCAGGTGCTCCCAGCCCTGTCAGCCTTGGGCACTGCCAGGGATGCAGGGGCAGCCACAGCTGCTCTGGGCACCCTCATGAACAAATTTTTTTCCTGCAGGGGGAGGGTTGGTGTTGAAAGCAGGGATCTGAGTGCTGGATAGTGCTTGCAAGAGGCTGGGATTGCTGAGCAACAACACACTCCTGGTGCTCTGTTTATCAAACCAGTGCAGTTGCTTTTGTCACCATCCCGATCCCTTCTCTCCAAAGGCGCCGCTGAAGAAAAGGCTCAGCAGAGCCTTAGCCAAACCCTGGCATCCTGAGCAGCCTGAAGGCACCTGCTGGTGCCCTGCTGGTGCTGCCCTGGCAGTGACAGTGCTGTGTGCTTGTCCCCAGACACCAAGCTGGGTCCCGAGGCGTTCCGCTTCGACGCGGGGAGCGAGGCCACGGCCACGCGGCTCAGCGAGCGCTACTACATCCTGAGGCCCGAGGTGGTGGAGAGCTACATGTACCTCTGGAGGCTCACCCACCACCCCAAGTACAGGCACTGGGGCTGGGAGGTGGTCCAGGTAAGGCTGCAGGGGGCACAGAGCTCCGTGGGGTCCTGCATTCCTACAAAAATCTTCGCTTCGGTCGGCAGAAGGAGCGGAAATTACTGAAATTGTGTTAAACGCTGAGATACATCAGGAATGCTCAGGGCTGGGTTGGGTGGGGCTCTGGGAAGCTTGGTCTAGAGGGAGGTCACCCTGTCCATGGCAGGGCGGTGGAACTGGGTGATTTTTAAGGTTCCTTTCAACCCAGATTGTCCTCAAAGCCACGAGTAATGGGGCAGGATCTCAAAGCCACGAGCAATGGGGCAGGAGTTCACAAAGTGCCTCAGGTCAGATAATCTCCACGGTGGATGTTTTCTTCTCCCTTGGGGGCTGCACTGCCATCAGTCCATCAGCCAGCTCGGGTGGCTGCTGTTTCCTTTGCTGTTCATTAGAGCCAGGCTGGTTCCCAGAGCGTGGAGCAACCCCCGAGTGAGGGACAGGAAACCTGGGGTTGGATTTGTAAACTGGTTTGGAATGCAGCTGCTGGTGCTGGAGGGGTCACCCCACGCTGCTGGGGGTGGCTGAGGGTTCTGTTCCCTCCCCCAGGCCCTGGAGAAGCACTGCAGGGTGGAAGCTGGCTTCTCTGGCATCCGAGACGTGTACACCACCACGCCCAGCCACGACAACATGCAGCAGAGCTTCTTCCTCGCAGAGACTCTGAAGTAAGTCTGGGCTCACAGGGCCTTCCAGAGCAGCACAGCTCCTGCAGCAGCTGCTTAAGGAGCCTCAGATGATGAGGGAGAAGTCTTCTCTTCCCAGGGGAGGTGTTCCCTCCAGGGCAGGGGGCTGGAACCAGAGGAGCTTCCAGGATCTTTCCATTCTGGGGGGAAACTGGGCAAGGCTGGAAATCTTTGGGAGTTTCCTGCTGCAGAACCTCTGCTGCCCGTGGCTCCCTGGAGGCTCCTGCTCAGGGGCTGGGTCCGAAGGGCTCTGCTGCAATCCAGAGTGTGGGAAGGTGGGGATTTTCCAGGGAGGTGGGGATGTGTCAGATGCTGCTGCCTGTGCCTGCCTGGAGCCCTGCTGAGCTCCTCCAAGCCTGTCCCTGTCCTGTGGCTGCAGGTACCTCTATCTTCTGTTCTGTGAAGATGACGTGCTGTCCCTGGAGGACTGGGTGTTCAACACCGAGGCTCACCCCCTGCCCATCAACCACACGGACTTGAAAGCAGCAGGGCAGCCCTGAGGCCCTGCCCAGCTCCTGCTCCCCCAGCCTGGGCAGACTCTGCTTTTCCTTTCCATTGAAGGAATTCCTGTTGTTCCTGAAATGGTGTTTTGGGGCACTAGTCCAATTCCGGACAGTATTTTCTTGGGAAGATGAACCATGACTAAGCACCTTCTTTTCCTCTGTGAGGAGCTCTATTAGGCTGATGATGAGATGTTTATTCTGGGCCATACTGTACACAGTTCATAGACATTCCTTTATACAGAGAATTTATATGAAATCCACTGATTTTGCTTTCTAGTGGCCAAAGGACTGGAAGTTTGCCATAAAATAGAATTTACACACACACAAACACACATCTCCTTTCCTTTCTCTGGTTCATTTCTGCCTTTTATCTGCTCTTGGATTTATCACCTTTCCAGTGAACAGTTCTCAGTATTCTGAGCTTTCTGGTGCTGGGCTCTGGGGGCTCTTCAGGAGAACGAGGAAGGGGAGCTGTCCTTGGGAGAGCAGGAATTCCTGGGGATGGCTGAGGAGCCAGCTGAGAGCTCAGGAGCGAAGGGAGGACACGAAAGGTGATGTTCTACTGGGAAAAGAAGAGGATCAAACCCTCCACAGACAGGAGCAGCCTCAGGTTGGAATTTACAGATTTCAGGGGGGGCTTGGACCACCCTGATCCCTGCTGGAGGGTAACTCAGGAGCAATCCAGGAGGCTCCTGGAGAGGGTTGGTGATGAATTCCCCCTCCAGGGGACACAGGAGCCAGCAGAGGGGCTCTGCTGAGCCCAGGATGAGATCCAAGATGAGATCCAAGAGGAGATCCAAGGCTGCCCAGGTTGGTGGTGAGTTGAGGATCCTGAGGGCAGCAGGGAGGGGGAAAGCTCCAGCCTGGGCTGCAGCAGAGCAGACCTGGAGGTCTCCAGAGGGACAGGGACAGCCCTGGGGCCCAGGTGGCCCTGCCTGAGCAGGGACTGGGACAGGGCCACCCCGAGGTCCCCTCCAGCCTCAGCCACTCTGTGACTCAACTGTAACTAAACCAAAACTTGGCTGCAAAATCCTTGCTCCTGATGTATTTTTATATACTTTTTTTCTGTGCTCTTAAAACACATTTACCACCCATCACATCTCATTTAACTTTCCTTTATCTTTTCTCTCTTTTTTTTTGGTGTTTTTCTACTTTTATTTGGAACTAAATGTTATGAGTCACTTGTAATAATTTTATTGCTGTAATAGTCAGATCTGTGAAACAGAATAAAAGTCTTGTAAAATAAAAAGCCTGTTGGGGTTGATCCTGTAAAAGACCAGTTACTCCATGCTTGGAATGAGACAATACTGGATTTAAAGAGTGGATTCAAAGAGTTTTGTGCAGCAGAAGCTGATTTCTAGGGGAATCTAGGCAGTGTTTGACAGCAATTCCCAGCTCTCTTAAACTGCTGGATCTGGGATCAGCATTCCCTGTGATCACTGCAAAGCTCTGTGGCCCTGGAGGATGGAACATTTTTGTTCATCCTTGTGACAGCCTCGTGACAATTGCTTCATTCAGCAACTTGGGGGAAAATAAAGTTGCTTTGAGCAAGTTGTGAAAACAGAAAATGTTGTTTCTAAATTCCTGCCTTTGTAATTCCCCGAGAGAAATAAGATTGTCAGATGGGGACTTAGCATTATCCCAGGGATAAAGCTGCTGCTGCTAAGCCTGGCCTAGAGGATGGGTATTGGTAAATAAACATCTTGGGAGTGAGCTGTGTTATCCAGGAGATTTGGAGATCGGGGAGCTCTTGTAGCTCAAAGGATTTTGATAATGGATTAAAGGAATTTCTTAAATAAGAATGACCTGCTCTTGGAGTAATATGGAACACTTTGCCTGGCAGAATTTAAACAGTGTGGTTCTGGTTTCCTTCAGGAAAATGGTTGGTTCCCATTTCACACAGGTGAGGGGGAGCATCCCACACCCTTCCAGAGGAAGTTTCCTGCAGCTTGGGGGCCACACCACAAACCAGGAGGTTCTGGCCAAGGGGAGATCTGGGATAGTTCTTCCTGCTGGGTGGAAATCTTCCCTGTTATTGTTTTTTAGGATTCCCTTTGATCCAGGTGTGCCTGGGTGGGCCCCACAGCAGGTGTGTGGATATTTAACATTCTTCCTGAGTCTGTAATCCCAGGAGCCAGCAGTGGAGAGCCAGGCTGGGTTTGTTCTCTTCCAAGGAGCAGCAGCCACCCTGAATTATTTCACCTTTAGTCTTTCCCATCAAATAATCCCCCCGTTCCTCATCTTTTTGTGGTGACTGGAATGTAAAATGAGCCCTTGTGCCTCTCCTCATCCAAAGAGAACCACCTCAGCTCTGCCACCACCCTGCCAGGCTCCTCCTGCTCATTCCCCGGACAAACCAGGACCTTTATCCCGTTCCAAACCCATCCCTCCCGTTACACTCTGGGTTATTCCAGGGAAGCAGCAGCAGCAGGTTTTACAGCACATCTATGAAACACGGGAGCTCATCCCCTGCTCCCAGACCTGTCCCTGCTCCCAGAGTCATTTCCATGCTCTGCTAATCCCATAGCCACGGCTTCTTTACGGAGCAGAGTTCCAGGGAAGTTTTCTGCCGTGCTGCAGAAAGATCTTTCTTCTTCCTCAGTGCAGCAGCCCCGGCGTGAATCACAAATATCCCCCTTGGTTCCACTGCGCGGTCCATCCTCATCCTCCCTCCTCCTCCCTTAACGGCTCGGTCATGCTCTCGCTCATCTCCATCTCGAGAATTCTTTAAACCTAAAACAAAAACGATTAGGCAGGCTTAGGGTACAGCAGAGCTTCAAAGGATTAAACGCTGACGCTTCCCTGGGAGAGATCAAACACTCGGTGTTGGCCCCGCAGCAGAAATCCTCCTGGCTCTGGGGGGATTGGAGCGGGACTGGGAGCACGGAGGAGCTGGGTGAGGAGCAGGGAGGGCTTAAAATAATAAATTTGTGTGTCTAAATAATAAATTGGTGTGTCTTGGCCCAGCCACCGCTGAGGGACAGTGTGGCAGCAATGGGCGGCCGTGGAGGGACACTGAAAACATGGGAGGTTGAAAAGCTTGGGGTGGAAATGACCCAAAATGACCCAAAATGTGGCACGGTGGTAAAAATGACCCAAAATGTGGGGTGATGCTGGAGAAAGGAGGCTGAGCACCATCACCCCAGGGCTGCCAAGTCATTCCCATCCCTAGGGCTCAAACCTCAGCGGAATCACTGCAAAAAATACCTGTTTTGTTAAAAAATACCCATTTTGGTCAGCTACAACCACACCAGTGCAGGATACGGCTTTGGGAAGTGCAGAACAAGTTCAGGGTTCTGTTCTTTCTGGGAAAAGCTGAATTAAGGACAAAATGGGAATGCGGGGATGGACACACATCCCTCTCTCGCATGGATAATAAAGAAAAAGCCTTGGAGACAGAGGAGGAGGGGGTTCATCCCCCCAAGAGCCCTCACAGCAGAGACATTTCAGCCTAAAAAGCGCTTTTTTCCTGAACGAGTGCCGCTCTTTTAACATTAAAACGTGTTTTTATCCTGACAAGTGCCGCTCACTTAACACTAAAAAGAGCTTTTCCCTAACGGGGCGGCGGCGATTTAACACTAAAACACATTTCTTTCCTTAACGGGCGCCCCTCATTTAACACTAAAACGTTTTCCCAGACTGACCGACGGTCATTTAACACTAAAACACGTTTTTCCCTGACCGGCTTCCGCTGATTGAACACTACAAAAACCCTTCCCCTGAGGGAGCGGCGCTGATTTTACACCAAAAAGGGGTTTTTATTCCCGCGGGGCCCGCGGCCCCTCCTCGCCCGCCTGACGCCTCCCCCGGCCGGGCGGCCATGGCGGCTCCGCGGCGCCTGAGGGGGCTGTAGAGGGGCTGAGGGGGCACCAGAACCCGTGGGCACCGGGGCTGAGGGGGTTGTAGACGGGCTGAGGGGACACCAGAAACGGTGGGCACCGGGGCTGAGGGAGCCGTAGCGGGGCTGAGGGGGCAACAGAACCGGTGGGCACCGGAGATGAAGGGGGCCATAGCCAGGCTGACGGGGCGGCCCCTCCGCGCCTGGCGCTGGCGCTGGCCCTGCTCGCCGCGCTGGTGGCCGTCAAGTACTACCGGGACGCGGAGGCGGCGCGGCAGCAGGTACCGAGCACCGGGCACCGAGCACCGGGCAGCGGGCAGGGGCGGGGACGGGCCCGCGGGGCCGGGCGGAGCGAGGGGGAATGGCGGGCGCGGCCGGCCCGGGCAACGTGAGGGGAGATGGCGGCGCCGGGCGGGCACCGGGGCTGAGGGGGCTGTAGAGGGGCTGAGGGGGCACCAGAACCCGTGGGCACCGGGGCTGAGGGAGCCGTAGCGGGGCTGAGGGGGCAACAGAACCGGTGGGCACCGGAGATGAAGGGGGCCATAGCCAGGCTGAGGGAGCCCCAGGAAACCGGTGGGCACCGGGTCTGAGGGAGCCGTAGCGGGGCTGAGGGGGCAACAGAACCGGTGGGCACCGGAGATGGAGGGGCCGTAGAGGGGCTGAGGGGACACCAGAACCGGTGGGCACCGGGAACCGGTGGGTGCCAGAGATGGAGGGGCCGTAGCCAGGCTGAGGGAGCCCCAGGAACCGGTGGGCACCAGGGATGAGGGAGCCGTAGCCGGGCTGAGGGGGCACCAGGTATCGGTGAGGGCTGAGGTGGCCACGGCCAGGCTAAAGTGACCACCAGGCATCGATGGGGGCTGAGGTGGCCGTGGCAAGCTGGAGTGACCACCCGGAATCCATTGCCGGGGTGGTTGGGGTGGCCATCACCGGACTAAGAGGAGTTTAGGCATTGTGGCTAATGGGGTTGAAGGCTGAAGTGACCACCAGGCTTGGGGTGGCCACAGCTGGAGTGACCACCCGGAATCCATTGCCGGGGTGGTTGGGGTGGCCATCACCGGACTAAGAGGAGTTTAGGCATTGTGGATAATGGGGCTGAGGTGGCCGTAGCCAGGCTGGAGTGACCACCAGGCTTGGGGTGGCCATTGGGGTTGAGGTGACCACCAGGCATCCGTGGCCATGGGGGTTAAGGTGTTGGGCGACTGCCAGGCATCGGTGGCTGCTGGGGTTGAGGTGGCTGTGGCCAGGCTGAGGTGGCCACCAGGCATCAGGGGGGTTTAAGGTGGACACTGGGCTGAGGTGACCAAGCTGAGGTGGCCACCAGGCATCAGGGGGGTTTAAGGTGGACACTGGGCTGAGGTGACCGCTGAGCTGTGGTGCCACACTCCAGTGGACGTGGGCTTGAGGTGGCCACTGCCAGGCTACGGCTCTGCAGAGCTGTGGTGGCCACCAGTGACCAGCTGCCCCTGCCTCCAGCCCCATTCAGTGAGGGAAAAATTACTTTTCCCCACATTCCAGCTGTACAAATTCCAACCCCATCCCTCGGGCTCTGTGCCTGTGAAGTGCAGAATGAGGAGAGGCCCTAAAAGATCCATCAGCAGAGGAGCTGTGCTGTGCTGGGGAGAGCAGATGCAGTGGAGCATCCCTTCAGAGCTCAGCACACATCCAGGACAGCCTGCCCTGCCCAGGGGAGGCTCCTGCTCCCTGCCCAGGGCCCTGAGCTGGCTCCCAGCCCAGCAGTGATCCCAGTCCATGACCTGTGTGCCAGCACAGGTGAGATCTGGAGCTGGGAGAGGTCCTGGAGCCTGGCACGAGCCTTGTGTGACCCTGGGAGATGTGTCAGCACCTGCAGCCAGGTGCTCAGCAGAGCTGTGACCTGTTTCCAGAGCCCAGGATGCTCATCCCCATCCATTCAGGGAATAAAAGCAGGTTAACTGTGGGCAGTCCACAGTGCATTGTCCCTGTGCACAAAAAACCATCTCCCTTCATTTTTTCATGTCCTTGGCCATGTCCTCATCCAGATCTTCATTTTGAGTTCCAGTTTATTTCAGTCTCAGCCCTGGAAGTGCCCTGGAAGGCTCTTAAGTGCTTTTGTAGCTGCAGTTGATGGGAGCAAAGCCTTCCAGGCTGCATTAGTGCTGCTTCAGGCTGGCAGGCAACAGATGGAAAATAAACTGGTTCAGGAGCTCTGGGGATGGTGGTGGTGCTGCAGGCAGCGGGGAGCAGCAGAATGCAGAGTGTTTGTGCTCCCAGCTCCAGGCTGCTCCGGGGGTGGCAGGGCAAGCTGCTGGATCCTGGGGCGTGTGCCAAGGGCTGGCTGGCACTGAGGGCTTTGTCTCGCCCGCTCTGTGTCTCTCACACCAACCTGGAGCTCTTGCTCTGCCTCCAAGTTGTCCCTTTCCCTTCAGACTGCAGAGTGGAAATGTGTGGAAGCATCCAGAGCCCTTCTGGGGCTGCTGCGAGGGAGACACCCCCCTGTGGGGGCTTGGCAGAGGGAGAAACTGAGGCACAGAGAAGCTGGGATCCCGTGGA